ATTAAATACATAAAGGATATTTGTGTTGTTTAACATTTAATTATTGCAGGTTTGCGTCATATTCTGAGTTGCATGATTTTTATTCATTTTGAGGAATACTGAATCTGTGATTTTTGTTTTTTTTTTGTGAGTGAGATGAATTAATGCATATTCATATAGCTGTTTAATGCCACTCAGCGGGTGATGCATGCTTCAGTCCAAAAGAAGTTAAATAAAAAGCGCTCAGAATTTTTAATATAACTCCGACTGGATTCGTCTGAAACAAAAAAGTCATATACACCTAGGATGACTTGAGGGTGAGTAATTTATGGGATAATTTTCATTTTTGGGTGAACTAACCCTTTAACTTCTTAAGAAAATTTTGTGAATCCGGCCCCTGGGTGGTTGCCTACTGGCCAAGTTTTCACCTTAAAATCATCAGCCAGGCCAAAATTGCAAGTCTGATCACTTAGTAATAGCACACCTCTCCTCAACCAGCTACATAATTTGATTCACACGAAAGAAATACTGTAGCTTTTATGGCTGGTCGCTTTGTCTGGTTAGGAGATGTTGAAATACTTAGGGCTGGGGTTTGTCGAAATCCCTAAGCACAAGTGTATGCAATAAAAACAGTGACGCTCGACTTAAACATCATTAATAATCGCAAACACAAAGATAAAACCAAGCCATGCGTGATAGTGAGAGGATATGGTTTGCAATCACAAGAACATCCGTGTTTTTGAAGCTTCAAACAGGCCATGAAGACAAAAACCATCTATCTTCCCTCTCTCTAGTGACCGCAGCATTCACTGACAGCCAAAAAGCCTTTAAGAACTTTAAAGCCACGGCAACAATTCTTCATAAATTGGCTTGGCAGTCTATCTTCTGATCTCCAACTGTTTTCAGATTCTTTATATTTGGATTAGATTTGCCACGCCACTTCTTCAATTAAAGGATAACTGTTGCTGATTTTCTGGAGGCGGAGAGAGAGAGAGAGAGAGAAAGAGAGAGACTCACAATCTGTTTCTCATTGAGGCTTCCACTGCTGTAGGTTGTGGCGAGGGTGGACGAACAGGCCTCGCTGTACCAGGGCACGTTGCCGTTCTGCGTGCTGCTGCTGATCGACAGCGTGTAGATGCTATTGGTGTAGCCGTCGCAGTTGCAGCTGTCCTTCTCTCGGCCGCCGTTCCCCGAAGCCCACACAAAGATGGAGCCCCGTCCTCCACGGCCCTAGAATTCAGGAGGAGAAACACACAGTCGGTCAAAAGCGCTGGCATCTCGCTTCATGCAAGCCCAATCGAACACCGAGAGCCAGATGCGAGGGCTGCGCTGCCAAGTCTGAAACATGAGGATTACCGACGACAATACTCAAAACAACTGGATAATATTTGTGATGAGTGGAGTTTGGAAAGGATCGTCTGCCAGAAAGGATTTTCAAAGTGTCATGGACAATTGAAGCACTATCATGGTTTCGACTGCCGGGCCAGATGCTTTTAAAAGGACCTTGTGGGATGGCGCTAATGTTCAAGACATTTATCATGCATGTTTATTTTCAGGCGCAAATGAAAGACACAAACAGCACTGGGATTTTGCAATCTACTTCTCAGAAGAAGTGCAGTAATGCAAAAGCAAAGTGTCAGAACCGATAATGAGCTCATGAAAAATACACGCACTGCATTAACGAGGCATGTATGAACAGTGTTGGGGGTAACTCATTACAAGTAATGAGAGTTACGTAATCAGATTACTTTTTTTAAGTAACTAGTAAAGTAACATTACTTTTTAATTTACAAGAGAATATCTGAGTTACTTTTTCAAATAAGTAACGCAAGTTAATGGCTAGGATATATGGATGGGGAAAATACTAAGGTAGTTTGTGTAATCAGTTCAAGTTTTGTTTTTTGTTTTTTTTGGTCCTTGTCACTTATTTATAGGAACAGTCACAGGGAAATTCTTACAGCTCTCACCATCTGTCCTGTTAAAAGATCTACCCAATATAATTCAGTAATTCTAATGTAATCATTCATACTTGGAACAAATTAAGCAACAATGCATTTATGCTATGGATCTACGCATATAGTGTATGCTATCTATGCTATGACATAAAAGAGTAATAAAATGTAGCATTAAGACACCTAACGTCTACTAATACTTAAATGTTATACTGCAAAAACATCAATAAATAACTATTGTTATTTATTGTTGAATTTAAATAATATTTTTTTTATGATAATAGATAATCTAACACACTATAAATTGAAAAAACAATGACAGTGATCATGTTAAAATAAACTGAAGTTGTGGCTTGCAAATTACTTAAATAAAATTAACTGAGGGGAAAAAAAAAAAACACTTCTAATTTCAGCTAGTGGCCAAGACAACATTTAGGTTTTTCATTTAGTTTAAGTACAACAATAATGAAAACTAAATATACAAAAAAAATAAATAAATAAAAACTGTATAGACGCATTTAAAAAATGCCTTCAAAACTATTACAGTATATCAATGATACTAAAATAACACTGCCCTCATGTTGTTCCAAACCTTTCTATCTTCAAAATAATATATTTTTGACTGATTTTGCCCATGCAATGAAAGTCAGTGGGGCCCAAAAAACAACAGCAGCAAGAACAAAAAAAAAAAAAAAAAACCGATAAAATTGTAATAATATTTTCTTGTGTTCCACAGAAGCAAATATAACATACAAATTTGGGACGACTTGAGGGTGAGTAAACGATAACAGAATTTTCATATTTGGGCTGAACTATTGCTTTAAGTGATGCATATAAAACTCAGGGGGGCCAAAAAAAAAACAACAGAAAAAAAAAAAAAAAAAAAAAAAAACCGATAAAATTGTAATAATATTTTCTTGTGTTCCACAGAAGCAAATATAACATACAAATTTGGGACGACTTGAGGGTGAGTAAACGATAACAGAATTTTCATATTTGGGCTGAACTATTGCTTTAAGTGATGCATATCAATCCGAAATGAAAGCGTAAAGTGGTCTTGCGTACTAAATCGCCTCTCAGTATTTTTCAACAAAAGGTCTGCTCATATAAAATCCATCCACGACACACTGCGGTAGGTAGCGTCTTGGCACGGCTCTCCTCCATTGTCCTTTAGCTTGGCCTCAGCCAGTTTTACAACCCCAGAGCACATATTCATATGAGTGAAGGGCTGAACGAATGCCGTTCCGTTACCCCGCGCATGATAGCAGTTTAGCTCAAATGGCGTTAAGTAATTAGGTATTAAGAATGTCAATACTGTTCATGCTCTGGAAAATCCGCATGAAGCTGTCTTGGTGAAAATTGCCATTTAATGTGACATTTAAATTAAACAAACTTCGCTCTGACCAGTAAGTGCTTTTATGACTGTAGGCACTCGCAAATGAAGTGTGCCAAAATCAAATACAGAGCATCCCTTCCACAGCCCCGCTGACCTCGCTAACTTCAAAGCAAATAAGAAAAATCCACTTAATTCATTTGAACCGCAAATTTCTGCCCTCTTAAATGCCGCTGCTGGTAAAAGTTAAAGGTTAAGAGAGGCAAACTCAGACCATCTCAGCACAAGAATATCAATGAAAACACGTCTACTGTTTGTGGCACGGACCAACTGATGCAGATAACGGCAGGAAACAGTAAAAAATAGCCCATGAGTCACAGAAGCAATTGTACATGTCATGCAAAACAGGACCTCTCCACTGCTCATTTTTTATGTAGACGTTCAAAGAAAACTTCCTCCACGGTTCATCCGAGTGAAAAATGTAGACTTCGATACGGCATCAAGCTGTGGTACGGTATATATATATATATATATATATATATGTGTGTGTGTGTGTGTGTGTGTGTGTGTACAAATTAAACAGAATAAATAAATGGCTTTAATGCATTAATCTAATTTAAAGTTTTAAATCATGAACATTTTAATAATCTCAGACGTGGTCGGCCTTGATCAACAATATTGTGAACTATGCTGACGTGTAAATTTAGCCAATGATAATAGACCATTTACATATACATATCATTTAGATAAGTCTTAAGGCCTGTTCACACAAAGAACGACAGCTATAAAGATAACTAATTACATTAGTGTCTGCACCAACACACGATAACATTCTGTTTATTCAGTGTGCACTGCTGTTACGTCATCTGGTGCTTTAAATCAGGATGGATTCTACGTTTTTATTGTTCATCAGCTGAAAAAAAAAAGTTTTTAAAGTGATTTCAATTATATTGTTCCTCTGTGCTGTTATAGTTGTGGTGTGGACTCTGCTTTACTTTTAAATTAAGAACAATGTTTAAAACAATATCATTATTGTTATTATTATAGTTATCGTCCTTCCTGTGAAAGGGCTTTTAAAAGGTACAATAATGCAGCCCAATTCACTCTAATGGGCAGAGAGGCTGGAAAATTCTTTGACAAGAAATATAAATTATGAAAAGTAATATAAATTGCCTTCCAGGAAACAATAAAATGAACCAAAAGTGCAGAATATAGCCCCTTTCAGCACCACGAGGAGTATTTCTGGCCTACATTAGCTAAATGACAAAGAAGTGCAATGAGTTCAGATTAGAGAAAGGCCAAACCTCCATCACGCCTCGTAGGAAAGCTTCTTTGGCCAGCTTTGCAGGTCCATCCACCGTTTTGCCGTCGTCTTCAGGTCCCCAGCTGGCGCTGTAGATGTCAATGTGCTGTGGGTTGAGACTGAGGGACTGAGCTTCCACCACATCAGTGACCTCTCCATCCAACATGCGCACACCTGCAAAACACAAAACATGATACACATTAGAGCAAAGGACAGAGAGCAAATCGCACACAGTACCAGCATGTGTTATATCTTACAGTAACCACAAACTGCAGCCTGACTATTGTAATGATTGTATTTAGATTAGATCGTAAAATGGTAAGAATTGATGGCTAGCGCGAGAGAGAGAGAGAGAGAGAGAGAGAGAGAGAGAGAGAGAGAGAGAGAGAGAGAGTGAGAGAGTAGGATGTTAGGGGAAAAATTCCTCAATCCAGCTGCTGAACTTGTTCTAGCACTGGAAAGCATGGAGAGGGGTGCAATCAGATTGTGTGAATTTTTGTCAGTAATGATTCCATATTATGCAGATTTAGAGATGCCAAAATGTGTCTGATAGTGCATGTCATCGAAAGCTACATTTAATACTGGGCTAAGAAATGTGTGATGAGAGGTTCTTCACAGATTAAGTAAGTGCTTATTATCCATAAAAAAATATATAAATAAAATAAATAAAAAATAAAAAACAAGGCAGCATCATTTTGTTGCCATAAAATAAATAAATAAATAAAACCCTTTTGGAATAAAGCACACTTTTATTTTATTTTTTTCCTGAAAACATTTGAAATATTCTTTTTTTGGAACATTATAACATTACTGACCCCAAACCTTTGAACTGTAGTCTACATACTATAATCTACTTATAACTATAAAAACATAAATTCAAATTTTAATGAAATAAAATGGAAATATAATATAAAATTATATAACTATACATAAAATATAAACAAATATATAAAATACTTGAAACTGGTGCTTCACTTTCAACACTGCATAAACTCAAAACAAACTTTCATTAGATTTTCAGTAATCTTTGAATGTGTATATTAATATAAATTCTGTAAACCAAAATTTAAAAAAAATATATAGCTTTTTTTTTTTTAATACTGCCAATGCCAACCTGCCTGCAATAATACGGTGATATTCGAATTCTCTCATATATGAAAGGGATGAGGTGCACAGATAGCGCTGCATATAAAAGTTCCTTTCAAAGGAAAAGGAGGAGAGCATGTGCACTTGTGTTCAAATCTGGAGTTCATTCAAAGGTGACAAGTGGCTACATTCTTCTCTTTCAAACATCCTTTTACATACGCTTCACAACAGAGGAAACCATCTTATCTTTTTCCACTACCCTGTACAAAAGAGTATCTTAAACCGAATTGGGGGTTTGGGAACGAGCCAGAGCGCTTGGTCCAAAATGTCAAAGGTGTTGAGTTATTGTGATCCCAGCATCAGAATGTTATCTCAGCCTCGGGTAAAAAAGAAAAGAAAAAAAAGAGAACATTCTGCCAAGAGCTCTTAGATTTTAAAGTGGTAAAAAGATGAGAAATCAGAGTCAAGCATCTTCAAAACAATGTGAATCACTCCTTTGACACACAAAGGGGCGAGGTTACTCAAGGTTGCCTTCATACGGGTTAGTGCAAATAAACAAAAGTTCAGTCGTTTCAGGTTTTCCAAAGCAATCCGAGAGCTTTGGTGAAGACAGTACTGCAAACAAACCCACAACGACAGAAAAATACAGCACAACATCTTGGAAAGACTTAATGCTTTTATCCCATATCTACATGCCAAAAGTCCCAAATATCCCTGTAGGACAAAGAGAAAGCTGGCTATGATTACTTTCCAGGAAATGAGAAAGGCATAACAGATATATACGTATGCACTGTGGTCACAAAAGAGAGCGTATATAGTAGGGGAATTTACCGTTAACCATTTAACAGGTTTTTACTGTAGCATTTTCACAGTCTTTTACCGTTAAATTCACGGTCATTTTTTACAGTGTAGTAAATACAAATACTCTATCTTCTCTCAAAAATGCAACAAGAACCCTCAGTTTTATTTGTTATAAAGCAATTTCCAACAATGGACTCTACTGTTTCCTCCAAGTCTTCCAAACCAATATTCTGGCTTAATGAGTTCTGGCAGAGGAATTAGCCGTGCTGTGTGCCATCTCCACATCCGGCTTTCCTGTAGCAGAAGGCACTGCGCTTGCCAGTTTGGGCCGACGTTATGGGTCAGCTGTCCAAAAACCTTCAGTTCTCTCTGTCCTCTGTCCCCATGCTACCCCCTAAAGGAGTAGTTCTCTGCTGCTTATTAAGCACAGATTTCCCCTTGGATTCAAGGTGAAACGGGCACAAGAAGATGACTTACCCTCCACTGCGTCTCATTAGGAGGATAATTCAAAAACAGCTGCTTGAGAGAGAAACAAAGGCAGAGATGACAAAAGAGAAATGGATTTTACCCATAACGCATTATCCATCTGCATAAAAGGACAGCTCTGACATGTAGCGTATATATTTAGTGTCTGAAGAAAATGTGCAATTTAAAAAAGAAAAAAAAGAAAGAAAAGGTGAGTGGTGCTTGTGCATGTAAATCTCATAGTCAAAGTGCAAATTTGTTTTGGGAGTTTGCAAACTAACCCATGTCAACAGACTCTATAATATTTTAGTGCCAGGCTGATGAAAATCTTAAAGCAGTTAGGAAATATCTCAATTTAATTTGTACGTGGAATTTTTCATAAATTCGATTCTTTAGAAACTTTTTCTGTTAAAGCATACACTTTAATAAAAATAAGGTCCAAAAAGAGAAACAACTGTACAGTACATTTTAAATGAGTGAAAATAAAGAAAAAGATGTCAAAGATAAATATCCCGGATACATTAAGTACTAAAAGGGCAGTCAAGTGAAAAGATCACAATGGTTGTTACATCAAGACATAAAGAGAAAAATACAGAAACTAAATAAAAAAGGCAACAAATATACAAAAATAAAGACCTATAAAATATTTTAAAAATACCAAAATAAAAGAAAGATTTTGGTGATTTCTGATTGTATTACTGTAATAATCACTATAAGTGCACAGTGTTGTCTGTACGACTATAGCTTGTTGAGTTGAGCTTGTCTTGCATTCATAGTCATGTTTTTTTTTAATGGTGTTGGGTATTTTAAATAGTTATTTTTATAAAGCCTGTCTCACAATGAAGTGCTCCATTGCATTCACTGACCGATCAATAATCATTGTTTACTTTATCATTACACTATCAATTAATGGTGTCACTTCAGAGTACTCGTGCATATCAGTAATAGTAATATGTATTTTATCTAAGGTTGCAACTTTACTGCTATTTTCATCTTCTTCCTCTTATCTGCTGATTGGCTTCATCACTCTGTCTCCTCTCCACCAGTAAGCTGGTGTGTGGTGGGCGTTCTGGCGCACTATGGCTGCCGTTGCATCATCCAGGTGGATGCTGCACACTGGTGGTGGATGAGGAGATACCCCCTGACAATGTAAAGCGCTTTGAGTGCTTAGAAAAGCGCTATATAAATATAAGGAATTATTATTATTATTAATTATCTTATTTTCTGACTTAAGAATAAAGTTAAGTAGAATTTTATTTTTAACAATGTTTTGTGAATCCAGTCCCGGCCCCTATGTATAGATAGTATACAGGTCTTTTTTTTACCCATATTTAATCACACAAATTGCATCAAATTCAAATGCATCTAAAAATAACAGCTCTTCCTTAAAGGGGGCATAACACGCACAGTTTCACCCAATCTCATGTTAATCTTGAGTACCTATAAAGTAGTACTGTATCCTTCATATCTCCAAAAAGTCTTTAGTTTTATCATATTTATAAAAGAAAGATACAGCTTTACGATTCTCTCTGGAAAAAGCTGAGCTCCTGGAGGCTCGGCGGAGCTAAAGAGTGATGAGCACTTGAGCGCCGAATGCCAACAAAATGGATCTTCTATAGCTGGGGCCGCTCCATCTTTCAGTATCAAACGATGTGCAAATCCAGTGTCGAACTGGGCCTTGTTTATAAAACGTTCGTCAACAAACACACTTGTGAAACTCCGTTGCTGCCCCGGAAAAACAAACTGTATCCACTGTTTACATAACGCTGGGTTCTTTAGGAAGCTGAACAAAGTTATCTTTCCCTTACAACCAAAAACACACTTCTTTGGAGACATTCTTCCCAAGCAAAACCCATGCAGCGCTGCCGCCGGATGAAGCGTGTTGATGGGCGCAATCTTGCTCTTGCTCTGGTCGATGCGTGCGCGTTTTTCCGGGAGAAATGCCCATATAAGGAGTTCCGCCCTCGTCTACGTCATGAAGAGCCACGATCGAAAAAAAACTCTCCGAAACTTGTACGAACCCAGAGGTAAGATTTTTGGCACAGAAATACTCTGTCATACGTCCAAATTGTTTTTTGAAACTTTGTCCATGCTTAGCATGAGAATCCAACTCTTTAACAGTGTAAACAACTCTGAATGCATGAAACAGCATTGTACCCCCCCTTTAAAAAGTAACATGATTTATGATTTTGTGTTGAGGTTTAATACTTAGATTAGTGGTTTGAAGTATGAACACTAGTAATAAGTGGCAAACACCTCTAATAACAATCACCAGCACAAATTGGAGAAAACACACAAAGTAGAGAGTGTTTTAAAGTCAAAGTTCAAAATGAAACATTTAAAAAAAATCTCCTGGGTGTTGTTAAAAACACTTTTCACTTTGAACGGACCACAACCTAAATGTTGTTTGATTAGTCAGTGCTTAAAAATGTTATTAATGGCTGCTGATGTGTAGAGCCAGGGTGACCTCATAATACACACGTTATATAACATAACATAAATGCATTACATAATCATCTATTCTGTAGTAGTAGTAGTGGTGAAGTTAAAGTGTTACTTAAATACTGTCATTATTTTCTCACTCTCATGCTGTTTCAAACCATGTCATTTTTATTTTATTCCATGAAACACTATAAACCTTCTGCAGTCATACTATATATTTGAGTAAGAACAGATCTCAAAGCTTATTGCAAGTAGTTATCGCATTGGAAAAGAGCAGCAATAAATTCTGCTTAACATCTCCTTCTGTTCAACCAAAGAAAGAGTCAAGCAGTATTTTGAACAACAAAAGGGTGAATAAATGATGACAATTTTATGACATGTTTTGGTGAAAGTGAAACATTATACTAGTGCTGTCAAACGATTAATCGCATCCAAAATAAAAGCTTTTGTTTACATAGTGTATGTGTGTGTACGGTGTATATTTATTATGTATATATAAATGCATACACATGCATGTATGTATTTAAGAAAAATATATGTTTATATATTAAATATATTTATATATAATATAAATTATATGAATATAAATATATACATGTAAATATTTTCAAAACATATGCTGTATGTGTGTCTTTATATATACATAATAAATATACACAGTACACACACATATATTATGTAAACAAAAACTTTTATTTTGGATGCGATTAATCGTTTGACAGCACTACATTATACCATATTGCTAAGCTAAACAGCTAAGATTCAACTATGGGCAGTTGGCTAACGGTTCTTGGAGAGGATTTAGAAAGCAAACCATTATCAATGACATTTATCTCAGTCCAATGAAGTCCAAGAGCCGTAGACAGCTGGCAGCGTAGAGAAGAGTAATGAAACTAAATCTGCACTGACTAGGATAAAAGCACCTCAGCCAATTAAAAGGATTACACATGCTAGCGTCCAAATCTTTGGCTCACAGGAACCTATGCTGGAGCCGGTGATAACTGTCCCACTTGAGCTCATGAAGCCATCGCTAATGGAGTTCCTCTTTCGAAGTGCTCTACGGAAGAGTTCTCATATGGTTCAGCTAATCTGAATGCGAAACCAATCTGATGTTTCACTGAGGTGTTTTGCAATTCAAATGTTGGAATGGACGGGGTGCGCGCTGAAAGAATAGACTGTACATGTTGAAACATGGAAAATGTGCCAACTCACCTCCGATCTTGGAATTGTAGGCCACTCCGACACCACACATGCCATTGTTGGCAACAGCAGCAACCTCTCCAGCACAACGTGTCCCATGTCTTCAAAAAAGAAAAAAAGAGAAAGAGAGAGATTAAATTATGATTTTTAAGGACACTTTCGAAACATCTGTACTGTGCCATAATACATGTTCTTCTTTGGGAAGAAAAAGAGATTCATAATATAATATATAATAATATAATATAATTAATATAATATAATAAATTAATCACATCCAAAAATATATGCGTGTACTGTGTATATTTATTATTTATATATAAAGACACACACATACAGTATATATTTTGAACATATTTACATGTATATACATTTATAAATACGTACACAAAAAAAAAAACTTTTATTTTGGATGCGATTAATTGCGATTAATCATTGCCCAGTATAATATATAATATAATATAATATAATATAATATAATAATGAATCAATAATAACTTAATTGTTATAATTAATTAATTCATCATATTATATTAAAATATGAAATTATGAAAACTAGCAATTTAATTAAAAAAGAACATACAAATATAAAAATAAAATAAATATTTAGAAATGTAAGAAAAAATAACTATGCAAATCAATTTAATAATAAAAAAAGTATATACAAAAATAATAAAATATAATGTATCATATTTATACAAAAATATAAAAATGAAAATACAAATATGAAAACAATGTAAAGCAATTTAACAAAAAAAAAACGAAATATGAAAAAATGTTTTAAAGCTATTTAATTAAAAAAGAAAAAATCATGTTTTATAACATGCATATACGTATTAATATAATGTGTATTAATATACACAATACAAAGTTTAATTTTATGTAATGCAATGCATCTTATATGAGCAGAAAAGGTAGTAGCAAGCAGAAATGGAGGAATGCAATTCATTCCCTCTGAACATGAATTGGACATTCTCAGTACTGCCAAAGACAGCTGGGAACAGGATCAAACTACAGTGCTGATGATGAGGGGCGGGCATAAAGACAGCCCCGTTCCTCATTCACAGCAGGTGACTGAAGCCTCTCATCCTGCAGGGCTCATTCAAAGCTCTTTTGCATGTGTGAAGAGCGCCTACTCAGTCCTGCTGTAAAACAGGCAGCTATCTGTTAAATACGACAGCAGGTGACACACTGATAACCGTGGCCTTTGGGAATAAGCTTACAATTGGTTTTAGATTGTGCAGATGCAACTTGCTGTATGCCTTTCATCAAAATTAATGAGGACCAAAGGCAAGGAACCAGCTAAAGAACCAAAGAGCAGAGACGTGTCACTTAGATCACCATCCAAGTGCATTTTAATTTTATTTTTGGCCTTTCCACCTCTTTGCCACACAGCAGAAATGTTTATCTTAATCTTGTTTGCACTGTAGCTCCAATTACATATTCTTTTTTTTTGCCAGTATTAACAAATATATGCACACTTATTGCACCACATACAAACATTTGAGATGGCACTGGATTCAAGCGTAAATCCACAGCATCTGTGTCACAATCTTCCGGGTCAGCAGACGTACAAAAGCCAAGAGAGCAATGAAGGCTAAACACGGAGTTCAACAGCACAGAGGAAGGATCAGTGAAATCCCAGGAAAACCCCTGCAGTCATCCATCCATTCATAGGAAGCATGAGATCAGTGAGGATAATGTCTCGGACTTACTCAGTCCTACAATAAGGAGGATCATGGGACCTAGATTACATCCAAAAAAGGAGGGGTTTTATGGGAACCAAGCTTCCGGATTGTTAAAACAACAGGAGGGAACTTGGGAGAACGCATGCAAGATTACGAAACAAAAAGTGTTTTTTGTGAATTGTTTTGCCTAATTTGTTCATTTAACTTTAACAACAGGGGTGGGCGATATAGCCTCTAAATGATATCACGATATTTCAAGAATATTTGTGATAATGATATTTATGACGATATAGAAAAAAATATGGAACAATGTTTTATTGGTGATTGCAGCTGGCAGGCAGCAGCATTTATTAATGCAAACAAAATTAAGGGCATTTTTCATCCTTTTCCAATGAGCTACTGTCATCGATGACAAACTACCTAATTCGAAGTGTAAATCTATTGTCATAAGTTGTGTGTTCGACTTGAAGCAGACCGATCGGTGTATGACGTCAAAATACCGCAAGAGTGACTTACCCCTTATTTACAATGCACGCGTCTGCGGCGCATTACGTCTTCGACGTGTTACGTCTCCAACGCGGCCACTCTAGTCAATGCTTGGGTTTACACCGTTTCAGAAGTGTCCCACGCACTCTCCGCACCGCTTCGCTAAATATAGGTGCTTCGCCTATTTATGACGGTAAGAGTGTGCCCTCGAATATGCTCTAGAACCACTCACGCGATACTTTGATGTCATACACCGATCAGTCTTCGCAGCGCTGCTTCAAGTCGAACACAAGTCGGGTTTGTGGTGTTACGCCATATGCGCCATACGTCATTGCGTTGGTATATCATTGATATCGCGATATGACACTTTTTTTTTATCATGTAAAAATGTATACCAGTATTATCGTGGACAGTATGATATGGCACACCCCTATTTAACAATAATAACGGGATAAAAATACAGGACAATAGTGAAAAAATATTGTTCCCATTCCACCCCACCTCAACATTAAACAAGCTAAATTTAAAATACATACAATAAAAGAAGAATAAAAACGTACTCAATAATACATAATTATACTGTAATACAGAGTATGTTAAGTATGTATAGAATACATGATGAATCATTAAAGTTTAGAAACAAAAGAATGTAGCCATATATCATGTACATGCACATATTTCAACAAACAAATCCTTACAAAAATAAGGTATTATTTTATTTAACTTTATGATTTTTTTCACAAAAAAGCTTTAAATTACACAATTTGTACTTAACTATATATTTTATAATATTGTAAAAAAGCATGAGTGATACACATACTCAGGCTGTCAATTTATATTAAACGTCAAATAAAGATTTACTTAAAATTATTTTCATATCACATTTGTATTCAACTCTTTCTATATTTTTATACATTTAAGAATCATATTATATTGTATTATATTATATATTTTTTTATTCTTTTTAAAAAAATGCTCTACATTACATCATTGCTTTTTATTTTAATTTACATTTAATGTTAATCTGCCAGTCTCAAAATGTCACAAAGTGATGACGACAAATGTGGTGAATGTGCACCGTGCACCGTCATCTGTTCAAGACCACACATGGGTGAGTGGCATGTCTTAAATGAAAAACTAGTCCAGATGCTCCTCACACATTTCTACAAGTACACATGACCTGGATGACAGAGAATCTGTGCAGACATAGGCATTTGCATTTATTCTTCACAGTCCACTGACTGAACAGAAATGTACTGACAATCACGTGACTTACTTGTTCTAACCCATTTCAAACTAAAATGGTCAATAAACTCGTATCGATGTGCCTCCCATTGCCCCTGAACAAGATATAGATTTCAGCTGCTTAAATTATCACTGTGGACCTTCTCAGTTCTCAACCCACCACTGTTCTTGAGTAACTGTGAATTATTCTCTTATCTATACTCTTGTTCTTATGTACGTGATAACTGTACGTGACGGAATCCACATTCATGGGCTGTTATCATGGCTGGGTGGTTTAATAGGGTTTGGTGTGACACCTTGCGTTAACGTCCCCCATGCTGACTCACTTTGAAGGCGAACACATGCAGGTTTGTGATACTGAGAGCGAGATATGCCACTAGTGAGCTGTCTGATAGATGTAAAGCAAGCCTGGACACATATAAGAGGGTTATTTCCATTTCATATTTACCTGCAGCACATGTGCTCCTTTGCAGGAAATGCTGTATAGATCGAATCCAAATGTTAGAAGCAGGCCCAGATGGAATGTGCAGACTTTTGCATTTTCGGCACTGATTTTTGAAGGACAAACACCAGCAAAATTCTGCTGAATGGTTTTAAACGGAGTTGAGAGTAATACATTTTTATGGGTAGCAGAAAAAGCATAATGAAATTAGGCAAAATATCTCAAACAAGCATGCAAGAGACATGGTTCAACAGTTTGGGCTCGGAAGAATTTTTAATGTTTTTGAAAGAAGTCTCTTAAAGGGGTCATATGATGCGATTTCAATTTTTCCTTTCTCTTTGAAGTGTTACAAGCTCTTGGTTTTTTTATATTTAAAGCAAGTTTTTTGGGCAGTGTAGAGTAGGGCTTGTTGTTTGTCATTTCTCCAATCACAAATGCAGACATGGTTTTATGTTTACGCGACACGATGCAATGCATAAGACAGTATAAGTCATTATAATCCATAATTATGTCACCACTGTATGCAACAAATGCCTCGTTTATAATGGGTTTTAATGTTTTTCTCTCGTCTGACAGGGCATCACAGTATGGTAGGGGCGTAACCTTTCAGTCACACGCTTGAGGTATTCGGCCAATCACAACGCACTGGATAGCTGGCCAATCACAGCACACCTCGCTTTTCAGACCGATGAGCTTTGTAAAAATCGATGCGTTTCAGAAAGGCGGGGCATAGAGGAGAAACAATAATGTACAGTATATGGAAAATAATGTGTTTTTTGAACCTTAAACCGCATAAACACATTTCATTACACCAAATACACAAAATAACGTTCTTTTTAGCAACATCATATTACCCCTTTAAGCTCACTGCATTTATTTGATAAAAAAAAACAAACAATAAAACTCTAATATTGTGAAATAACCGTTTCCTTTTTTTTATAAATGTAAAAAAAAATTTATTCCTGTTATGCAAAGCTGAATTTTCAGCATCATTACTCCAGTGTCACATGATCCTTCAGAAATCATTCTAACATGCTGATTTGATGCTCAAGAAACATTTATTATTATTAATTTTGAAAACAGCTGTGCCGCTTAATATCTCTGATGAACAAAAAGAACAGCATTTATTCTGAAATGAAAATCATTTGTAACATTACAAATGTCTTTACTGTGCCTTTTGGTCAATTTAATGCATCTTAGCTGAATAAAAGTTTTAATGTCTTTCAAAAAAACAAGCAAAATA